CTGCAGCGAGAGGAGCCTTCGGGGCTCGGGGGGGCTCGGGCCGGGGTATCAGCGATTTCCGATGTATCCCCGTCCAGAATTATGCTCGTCCTGGCCTCGTCTGGCAGTACCGTCGAGGCGCTGCAACGAGGACCCTTCGGGGCCCACGGGGAGGGGGGCGTGGGGCTTTGGCTTTCGGGCCATGCGGGAAAAGGGAGGCAGGAGGAGGAAGGAGGGGCAAAAAGGAGGAGGAAGAGGATGGAGGATTGACGAGGATGGAGGAGGAAGGAGGATGGAGGAGAAAGAGACAAGGAGGAAGGAGGAGGAACGATCATGGAGGAGAAGAGAGCGAAAGCGAGGCAGGAGGACCAAGGCGGGGCCGGCGCGACGCCGACACCGACGCTGACGACTCCGCCGAAGGGGACGCCCACCGCGGCGCCGACGCCGCCGCAAACCGTTTGCGACGGCGCTGCCACCGACGAAGGCGCTCCTGCGGGCCAGTCCCGGGGGAGCCGCGCGGCGGCCAAGGCCAGCGGTGGCCAGGCGAGGTGCTCCGTGCCTTCCTCCGCTCTCCATCACGGGGGCCACGAGGACTGCAGCGCCCCCTCCCACCCATAGTCGACCCTTCACAGTGAGGACGGGCAGCCTTCCCTCGCGGCCTTGCCTTCTCCGTGCATCCTTGGCCCCTTTCGTGGGCCGCGCTCCGCCCGAAAGGCCTCGAGACGGGCGTTTTCGAGGCCCTCGCCTCCGTCCCGTGCCTCCTTGTGAGAAGGGTCGACTGTACAGTCGGGGCCCTGAGGAAGGAACCCTTTTCGTTGGGGAGGGGCTCCGCGTTCCTTAAGTGTTGCACAGCTTGCCTCAGGCTTTCCCTATGTTCTCGACAGGAAATCGGAGGTTAACTTATGGAAGAAAGGGGCCCCGTTCCTTGTTTATCGTTCCTTAGGTCAACGCCCCGACTGTAAGGGTCGACTGTAGCGCTCCCGGGTTGCCCACCTCCTGTCCTCGGTCCCCAATGGGGGGAGGCGTGCCGCCGCGCGGCTGGCCCCAGACTCGATGTGAGCACCGACCCCCAGGCGGCGTCGCAGCACAAGGCATTGCGCGCCTGGCATCCCTTCGCGGCAGCGGCCTCCGTGAGCGGCCTTCTGGCCTTCGGGTGCGTCCCAGAAATCGGCATACGACGAAGAGCCGCAGTCGTGAATGAGGTCGAGTTCGGTAGCCAATCATGGGAGCCTGGCATACCCTTTCAAAGCCGGTGTTAGCGTCGACCAGCGTCGATGAGAGTCTGGGAGTCGATGAGATAGCGCCGAATTGGCGTCGGCTAGCGTCGATTAGCCTCGATTTAGCGTCGACTGGCGTCGATTCGCAACAGCGGACAAGATGGTGTGGGTGGCTCCCACGAGTTGTCATCGAAGGTCGAGGGCTCCGAGGGCCCGTACCGTGAAGAGTCATTGCCGAGGGTCGGGACATCCGCTTCCTCCCTTTTCTGTGTCCCCGGGTCGGCTTCGTCGCCAGGGCCGCATTCGCCTCGAAGTCCTGATCAGAACGCGCTGCGGGGCAGGTGTGGTGGGCGCCACTTCGGGGCCCAGAGCGTCCCCCCCTCCAATTCCGCAGCCGTGGTTGCTCAAGCCATCTCAGCTCAGGGAACTCATTTGGGCTGAGAAGCTGCATTACTCTGTTTTCACACTACTACATCCATCCACCATGCTTTCCTTACACTACTACGTTCATATGGTGTTGTGTGCGTCTGCACACTTGGGGGTGCACGTGCAAGCAATCCATCTTAAGCATGATGCCCAGCTTGGCAATTCACCGGACGCATACACCCTGGCATCCGGATCGTGCCCCCCTGGATACGCGGCTATCTCTTCCACTTCGGAGTGCGATGCAGCTGCAAGTGCGCTCGGACTCACGCCGGGCCCTGGGGTGTCCCATGCCTGGGGTGGCAGCTGTGCGAAATGGGACGGCGGGTGGGGCGCATGGGGGAGCACCTGGTACTGGCATTATGGCAGCACCCAGTTCAGCGCCGAGCTCATCTGTGCCGTCTCGCTGGCTCCAACCAGTGTGGCCAGCGCCACGCTCAGCACGCCCAGCCCCACGCCCAGCCCGACGTCCAGCCCGACGCCCAGCCCGACGCTCAGCCCGACGCTGAGCCCGACGCCCAGCCCGAGCTTCCCCAGCGCACCTGCTAGCCAGGGCGCGATTGCTGCCGTTGGCGATCCCCATCTGCAAAATATCCACGGTGAGCGGTTCGACGTGATGAAGCCAGGCAGGCACGTTCTGATACACATCCCCCGCGGGGAGCCCGTCAAGACCACATTGCTTCATGTGGAGGCCGAGGCGAGTCGACTGGGTGGGCAATGCTCGGATATGTACTTTCAAAGGTTGAACGTTTCAGGGGCCTGGGCAGAGGCGAGACAGCCCGGAGGGTACCACTTCGAATCGCAAAGTGTTGTCAACAGGTCCCCGGAATGGATTAGTTTGGGTAAGCTCGAGCTGAAGGTTGTTCATGGACGTACGGAGCAAGGCACCCCGTATCTGAATTTCTACGTCAAGCACTTGCGGCGAGTGGGGCGTGCTGTCGGAGGTCTACTTGGAGAAGATGACCACTCAGACGTGGAGACGCCTCTGGAGGCTTGTGCCCAGCGGATTTCCCTCCTGGCGCAAAGTGCAGACATGAACAGCCATGCTTCTGCATTATCGTTGGCAGTCGCAAGTTTGGAATGAGCAATTTAGATTATAACGCCTCCCCCTCCCCCTCATGTTCTCTTGCTTCTACAGTATATCTGTTCTTATTCTTCTTCGCATAAGCTCGTGTCCAGCGAATGTGTCCCCCGCATGGCGCGTATTGCGGGCATGGACAGCCATGGCAGGCGCAAGCCTCGAATGACCAGACCCGTTTGCATCTACTAATCATGTTCAGCGTCGCTTTCTGGGGAGGACGGTGCGGTCACTGGATTCTGTCGCGACGAGGAGGACGAGGAGGAGGACGACAAGGAGGACGAGGACGAGGAGGAGGTGGGGAAGCTTCAACCCCCCCGAGGAGCTCCAAAGATTTGAAAACCGCTGAGGACCTCCCTGCCTCATCCGCTCCTCGCTGCTCCCATGATCCACAGAACCTCGGCTGGAAGTGATTTCGCCCAGGAAGAGCTTAAATCTTCTTTTCCGCTCGTGCACTTCCGAAAGGCCGGAATCGATTCCACAGGGCCCCGATTCCATAATACACCCTATCATTTTCCCGTCACACCCAACAAAGGATGATGGTGGGATTTGTGGTACACGTTTTGCCTCTTTGGGACTTTCTCGGGGGCCTTCGTCGCCATGGTTAGCTCAAGCCATCTCAGCTCAGGGAACTCCTTTAGACCCATAAGCTGCATTACTCCGTTTTCACACTACTACATCCATCCACCATGCTTTCCTTACACTACTACGTTCATATGGTTTTGTGTGCGTCTGCACACTTGGGGGTGCACGTGCAAGCAATCCATCTTAAGCATGATGCCCAGCTTGGCAATTCGCCAGACGCATACACCCTGGCATCCGGATCGTGCCCCCCTGGATACGCGGCTATCTCTTCCACTTCGGAGTGCGATGCAGCTGCAAGTGCGCTTGGACTCACGCCGGGCCCTGGGGTGTCCCACGCCTGGGGTGGCAGCTGTGCGAAATGGGACGGCGGGTGGGGCGCATGGGGGAGCACCTGGTACTGGCATTATGGCAGCACCCAGTTCAGCGCCGAGCTCATCTGTGCCGTCTCGCTGGCTCCAACCAGTGTGGCCAGCGCCACGCTCAGCACGCCCAGCCCCACGCCCAGCCCGACGTCCAGCCCGACGCCCAGCCCGACGCTCAGCCCGACGCTGAGCCCGACGCCCAGCCCGAGCTTCCCCAGCGCACCTGCTAGCCAGGGCGCGATTGCTGCCGTTGGCGATCCCCATCTGCAAAATATCCACGGTGAGCGGTTCGACGTGATGAAGCCAGGCAGGCACGTTCTGATACACATCCCCCGCGGGGAGCCCTTCAAGACCACATTGCTTCATGTGGAGGCCGAGGCCAGTCGACTGGGTGGGCAATGCTCGGATATGTACTTTCAAAGGTTGAACGTTTCAGGGGCCTGGGCAGAGGCGAGACAGCCCGGAGGGTACCACTTCGAATCGCAAAGTGTTGTCAACAGGTCCCCGGAATGGATTAGTTTGGGTAAGCTCGAGCTGAAGGTTGTTCATGGACGTACGGAGCAAGGCACCCCGTATCTGAATTTCTACGTCAAGCACTTGCGGCGAGTGGGGCGTGCTGTCGGAGGTCTACTTGGAGAAGATGACCACTCAGACGTGGAGACGCCTCTGGAGGCTTGTGCCCAGCGGATTTCCCTCCTGGCGCAAAGTGCAGACATGAACAGCCATGCTTCTGCATTATCGTTGGCAGTCGCAAGTTTGGAATGAGCAATTTAGATTATAACGCCTCCCCCTCCCCCTCATGTTCTCTTGCTTCTACAGTATATCTGTTCTTATTCTTCTTCGCATAAGCTCGTGTCCAGCGAATGTGTCCCCCGCATGGCGCGTATTGCGGGCATGGACAGCCATGGCAGGCGCAAGCCTCGAATGACCAGACCCGTTTGCATCTACTAATCATGTTCAGCGTCGCTTTCTGGGGAGGACGGTGCGGTCACTGGATTCTGTCGCGACGAGGAGGACGAGGAGGAGGACGACAAGGAGGACGAGGACGAGGAGGAGGTGGGGAAGCTTCAACCCCCCCGAGGAGCTCCAAAGATTTGAAAACCGCTGAGGACCTCCCTGCCTCATCCGCTCCTCGCTGCTCCCATGATCCACAGAACCTCGGCTGGAAGTGATTTCGCCCAGGAAGAGCTTAAATCTTCTTTTCCGCTCGTGCACTTCCGAAAGGCCGGAATCGATTCCACAGGGCCCCGATTCCATAATACACCCCATCATTTTTCCGTCACACCCAACAAAGGATGATGGTGGGATTTGTGGTACACGTTTTGCCTCTTTGGGACTTTCTCGGGGGCCTTCGTCGCCATGGTTGGCTCAAGCCATCTCAGCTCAGGGAACTCCTTTAGACCCATAAGCTGCATTACTCCGTTTTCACACTACTACATCCATCCACCATGCTTTCCTTACACTACTACGTTCATATGGTTTTGTGTGCGTCTGCACACTTGGGGGTGCACGTGCAAGCAATCCATCTTAAGCATGATGCCCAGCTTGGCAATTCGCCAGACGCATACACCCTGGCATCCGGATCGTGCCCCCCTGGATACGCGGCTATCTCTTCCACTTCGGAGTGCGATGCAGCTGCAAGTGCGCTCGGACTCACGCCGGGCCCTGGGGTGTCCCACGCCTGGGGTGGCAGCTGTGCGAAATGGGACGGCGGGTGGGGCGCATGGGGGAGCACCTGGTACTGGCATTATGGCAGCACCCAGTTCAGCGCCGAGCTCATCTGTGCCGTCTCGCTGGCTCCAACCAGTGTGGCCAGCGCCACGCTCAGCACGCCCAGCCCCACGCCCAGCCCGACGTCCAGCCCGACGCCCAGCCCGACGCTCAGCCCGACGCACAGCCCAACGCTCAGCCCGACGATGAGCCCGACGCCCAGCCCGAGCTTCCCCGTCGCAGTTCCAAGTTCGGGCGGGGCCGCTGCTACTGGCGATCCCCATCTGCAGAATATCCACGGAGAGCGGTTCGACGTGATGAAGCCAGGCAGGCACGTTCTAATACACATTCCCCGTGGGGAGCCCGCCCGGAACACGCTGCTCCACGTGGAGGCCGAGGCGAACCGATTGGGTGGGCAGTGCTCGGACATGTATTTTCAGAGGCTGAACATTACTGGAGCTTGGCCAGAGTCGAAACGAGCAGGAGGGTACCACTACGAATCGCAAAGTGATGTCGACGAGATTCCGGAATGGATTAGTCTCGGTATGCTCGAGCTGAAGGTTGTCCATGGACGTACACAGCAGGGCACCTTGTACCTGAATTTCTACGTCAAGCATCTTGGGCGAGCGGGGCATGCTGTCGGAGGCTTACTGGGAGAAGATGACCACTCTGACGTAGAGATGCCTCCGGAGGCTTGTGCCCAGCGGATCTCCCTCCTGGCGCAAAGTGCAGACATGAACAATCATGGCTCTGCGCTGTCGGTAGCAGTCGCAAGCTTGGAGTGACTCGTGGCCAGACCAGGTCTGATTTCACGCTCCCCCTCCTCCGCCCAGCGAGGTCGCTTACTTGGCGCGAAGTGCAGACATGAGTAGCCATGGCCCTGCATTATCCGCAGCGGTCGCAAGCTTGGAGTGATTCGTGACCAGGCCCGTTTGCAACTTGCATCCCTCCCTCCCTTCTTCCTCCCCCCTCCAGCTACACTTCCCCGCTCTGTTTTCCCCCAACCGTACTCCTGCGGCGGCGCGGACGTACCCGCGCCAGGCCCCGTCCTGGGGCCCAGAGCTGAGGGATTGGACCTTCTTCCCCCCCCTTGGAATAGAGTCTAGAGCAACAGGGAGCACGTCGTGGAAGAGTTACGGTGGGTGGACAAAAAGTGTTCACACCCATCGCGCCAATAGGATACGACATCGAACTGCGTCGAACAAATATCCATCGCCCCCGCCCCCCCCCTAACCCAAAGTTGACGGGGTTGAGTGCGAGGCAACGCGCGGGGGACAAAATATGGACGCTTCAACTTTGGGTTCGGGGGTGATGGGGGGGCGAGCCACATGTATATTGCAAGTGTCGTTGCCATCATGCCTGATTGTCTTCGCGCCGTCGGTGTGGACACTTTTGGTACGGGCACCGTAGCTTCTTGAAGGACCCAAACATATGCAGCTGCGAGTACCGCGGGGCACGTGAGAAGAATGAGGGGGGCCAGCACAAGGACACAGGTGAAAGGGGTGCGGCACCGCCGTGAGAACGCAGCGATTGGGGCCTTCGGTGGAGCTCCCTAGGTGACCACGAAACGCGTGAGGGGCGTCCCGAAAGGGGTGCGGCGTCGCCATGTTAACGCAGCCATTGGGGACTTCGGTGAAACTCCCTGTGGGGCCACGAACCGTGAGGGGCGTGCAGGATCAGGAGCGGGTGAAACGTGTGAGGGGTCTGCCGAACTGATGGCGGCGCCGCTATGCGAAAGTTGGCATGACAGCCTTAGATGGAGCTCCCTGTGGGGTGCCGAAACGCGAGAGGGGCGTGGCGAGATGAGGCGGCGCCGCCATGCGAACGCCGGCATATGGGCTTTACTTGGAGCTACCTATGGGGTCACGAAGCCTGCAAGGTGTGTGCCGGAATAAGGCGGCGCCTCCATGGAAGCGCCGACATTAGGCCTTAGTTGGAACCCCCTTAATTGGGTCACGGAAAGTGCGATGGGTGTCCCGACATGAGGCGGCGCTGCCTCGCGCTCGCTGGCATTTGGGCCTTAGGGTGTGAGGGGTGTGCCGGAAGAAGGCGGCGCCGCCATACGAACGCTGGCATGTGGGCCTTGGTTGGAGCTCCCTATGGGGCCACGGAACGTTTGAGGGATGTGCGGAAACGAGGCGGCGCCGCCATGCGAACACTGGCGTTTGGGCCTGGTCTGGAGCTCGCACTATAGGGCCACGAATCCTGTGAGGTGTGTTCCCTGCTACGGCATTCGAGTGGGCGCCTGGCGCGCACTACAAGGTTGATTTGGAGGAGCCGGGAGCCTGAAAGGGCAGGAAGACTTGAAAAGAAGAAGGGGGGACAGGTGGTGAGCAGGCTGACGAGCAACATGCGAACGTACTACGAGCTCCTCATCATTCTCCTGCTCCTCCTTCTCCTCCTCTTTCTCGTTCTCTTTCTCCTCCTCCTGCTCCTCCTCCTCGCTGGGTTCCAGTAGCTGGTGGCATAAGGCGGCGGTGGTCTGTCGCTATCTGAGGCTGAAATAAGCTGTGGGGCGCATGTGATTCCTGACACTGCGGCAACGTGTGACTGAATGCCAGCATGGGTTGGGGGACGAATGTGATTCCTGCCCTTGCGGCCTTCTGTAAGGCTCCCTATGCCCTATGAGGCCATGAAGCGTGTGAGGGGGCATGCCAAAATGGGCGGGGGGGACGCGTGTGATTCCTGCCACTGCGGCCTGCGGTGGAGCTTCCCATGGGGCTACAACGCGTGTAAGGGGTGTGCCAAAGTAGTGGTGGGGAAGGCATGCGGCCCCTGCCACTGGGGCCTCCGTTGGAGCTCTCCCATTGGGGCGACGAACCGTGCGAGGGTTCTGCCAACGTGGTGATGGCGGTCACAATGATGCTGCTGATGATGGCGATGGCAATGACTGCGACAACGACAGCGATGACGATGATGCCGATTACGATAACGATCTTGATGTTGCTGATGTTACTGATGACGGTGATGATGGTGATGGTGATGGTGATGGTCGTGGTGATGATGCTGGCGATAGAGGTGGTGATGGCGATGATAAAGATGGTTGTGATGGTGATGGTGGTGGTAATGATGGCGATGACGATGGTGATGATGATTATTATGCCGATGGTGTTGACGGTGATGATGTTGATGTTGATGTTGATGCAGGTGATTATGATGATGTTGATGATGGTGATGGTGATGATTGTGATGATGGTGGTGATTGTGATGATGATGATGATGATGCTGATGATGATGATGATGATGGTGATGCTGTTGATGATGATGATGATGATGCTGATGCAGCTGAGTATGATGATGCTGGTGATGATGATCATAATGATGGTGATGATGATGTCTATGAGGACGGTGATGGTGATGGTGCTGACGCTGATGATGATGCTGATGCTGTTGCTGATGGTGATGGTGATGGTGATGATGGTGCTTGTGACGACGCCGCCGACGACGATGATGACGCTGACGATGATGACGATAAGGACATGCGGAGGGCGGAAGCGGGACGAGAGAGGAGGAGAAGGCGGGAGGAGGAGGAGGAGGAGAAGGTGGAGGAGGAGTTAACGCGGGGCGTTGCAGATTCAAACAAGAAGCCAATACCACAGGATGGTTGCGAATGAGCATGACGTCAAAGGTCTCCCCCGTTTCTTTTTTCGTGAGCAATTTCAGCTCAGGGCGCTCGATTCGACCCAGACGCTGCATCACAATCACACATTACTATACCTGCACACTACTACGTACATCCACCATGGTTTCCGCCAATTACTTCCTCCATATGGCTTTGTGTACATCTGTACACTTGGGAACGCAAGTGAAAGCAATCATGATCCATCGGAAGCATCATTCTCAGCCCTCGGACGCATACGCTATGGCAGCCGGGTCGTGTCCGGTCGGATATGCCGCTATCTCTTCCACCTCAGAGTGTGATGCAGCTGGAAGTGCGCTCGGGCTCACGCCGGGCCCTTGGGCGTCCGTCAATTGGGGTGGCAGCTGTGCAAAATGGGATGGTGGGTGGGGCGCATGGGGCAGCAATTGGTACGGGTATTACGCGAGCAATCAAGCCACCGCCGAGTTCATTTGTGCCAAGGTGCCAGCTCCAACCTCTGCGGCCGGTACGGCTTCTGGCTCCCCCGTCGCAGTTCCAAGTTCGGGCGGGGCCGCTGCCACTGGCGATCCCCATCTGCAGAATATCCACGGCGAGCGGTTCGACGTGATGCAGCCGGGCAGGCACGTTCTGATTCACATTCCCCGTGGGGAGCCCGCCAGGAACACGCTGCTCCACGTGGAGGCCGAGGCGAAGCGATTGGGTGGGCAGTGCTCGGATATGTACTTCCAAAGGCTGAACGTGACAGGGGCTTGGGCAGAGACGAAACAGCCCGGAGGGTACCACTACAAATCGCAAAGTGATGTCGACGAGACCCCAGAATGGATTAGTCTCGGTAAGCTCGAGCTGAAAGTTGCCCATGGACGTACACAGCAGGGCACCCTGTACTTGAATTTCTACGTCAAGCATCTTGGGCGAGCGGGGCATGCTGTCGGAGGCTTACTGGGAGAAGATGACCACTCAGAAGTGGAGACGCCTCCGGAGGCTTGTGCCCAGCGGATTTCCCTCCTGTCACAAAGTGCAGACATGAACAATCATGGCTCTGCACTGTCGGTAGCAGTCGCAAGCTTGGAGTGACTCGTGGCCATACCAGGTATGGTTTCCCCCTCCCCCTCCTCCGCCCAGCGCAGTCGCTCTCCTGGCGTGAAGTGCAGACATGAGTAGCCATGGCCCCGCATTATCCGCAGCGGTCGCAAGCTTGGAGTGATTCGTGACCAGGCCCGTTTGCAACTTGCATCCCTCCCTGCCTTCTTCCTCCCCCCTCCAGCTACACTTCCCCGCTCTGTTTTCCCCCAACCGTACTCCTGCGGCGGCGCGGACGTACCCGCGCCAGGGCCCAGGGCCCAGGGCCCCGTCCCGGGGGCCCAGAGCCGGGGTGATGGACCGTCCGTCTTGAATGTTTCGTTCCACCTCGGCGGAATCCGAGTGAAGGAGGGAAAGTTGGAGGGGGACGATCGAGATCTTTGAACGCTTTTGCTGCCTTTTGGGGATCTCTGGGGGCCTCCAGAGGCTTTCGAATGCCTCGGGAGGCGCTTGGAGAGCTCCAGGGACCTGCGAGGAGAAAGAGGATGGGGATGATGATGATGCTGCTGATGATGACGATGATGATTATGATGCTGATTGTGATGATGATGATGATGATGATGATGATGATGATGATCATGATCATGATCATGATCATGATCATGATGATGCTGAACATGATGATGCTGATGATGATGCTGATGATGATGAAGATGATGATGGTGATGGTGATGATGGTACTGATGATGCTGATGATGATTATGATGATGATGGTGATGATGGTTATTGTGATTTATTTTATGGTGATGGTGATGATGGTGGTGATGATGCTGATGATGCCGATGCCGATGATGATGCTGAAGGAAAGGTAGAAGATGATGATGCGAAGAAGAAGAAGAAGCAGGAGAAGGTGTTGAAGAAGAAGAAGAAGGAGGTGATGAAGAGGACCTGCACCCCTCCCTCCCTTCTTCCTCCCCCCTCCAGCTGCACTTCCCGCTCTGCCTCCCCCCGCTCCTCCGGAGGCACGGAGGTGCCCGCGCCTGGGCCCCATGGGGTCCAGAGCCGGGGGGGGAGGGGACCGTCCGTACTGATTCTTATTGTTCCACCTCGGCGGAAGATGATGATGATGATGATGATGATGACGATGATGATGATGATGATGATGATGATGATGATGATGATGAGGAGGAGGAGGAGGAGGAGGAGGAGGAGAAGGGGGAGGGGGAGGGGGAGGTCCGTAGCCATTTTGGCTGCTAAACGTTGTAAAGGGCTACTAGATGCCCGAGAACCAGCGATTAGCTTTGGGGGGATCCGTAGCTGGCCCAGCAATTTGCTTGCACAGCGCAGGACGGGAGGCCCGCTCATGCCCAGCAGGTACACTTCTTTTCATCCTCACTTACTGCCTTTGGTTGCTGGGGCAGCTCTGGCGCGGGGAAGCGACTGGAGTTGAGTGCGCGGCACGTTCGTGGAGATGGCGACGCAGACTGGCGTCAAGCGCCCAGCAGTGGCGCAGGGCTCAGCAGCTGGCAGTGGCTTCGAGCTCGTCGAGAACTCGAACGAGGGCGCTGGCATGCGGGCGCTCATCGGGTCGCTGCGTGCTGACTTCACTGGCGACGAGGAGAGATGTCAGCTGTTCGTGTCGGCGTTGCAGAACCCAGTCACCAGCATGCAGGCGAAGGTGATCGAGTCCTGAACGCATCTTGCCAACCGAGTGGAAGCTCGGCTGGCACCAGCTTTGGAAGTACAGCGTGAGCACACATTCAAGATGGCTACAGTGGAGAGCGATATCCAGCAGCTCAAGACGGAGCTCGGTGTGGCTCGAACCGCTGAACCGGTGCGACCACCAGTGGTGTCGTCGGCTGTACGGGAGCGGGATATCGACGCGACGGTCATCGCGGCGCTGCAAGGAGCAGATGGCGAAGGAGGCGGTGGCGAATGCGCTCAGCGCGTGGATGGCGGAGCAGAGCTTGGTGGCCAACGAGTGGTGCATGGAGGGCGAGCCGGCAAGGCGGCGATTCCTGCTGCGCATCGGTGGCACGGCGGGATTGGCGAGTCGGAAGGTGTTGCAGGCGCTGGGTTCGTTCCGTCCGCAGCAGCGCGGGCAATCGTGGAGGCAGCAGTTCGAGGGTGTGTCAGTTTCGGGCAGCAGGTCCAAGATCTTCCTGGGCCGCGACAAGAATGCGAAGCATAGCAAGACCGAGCAGGCCGTCAAAACAATCAAGAAAGTGTTCAACGAATGCTATCCGGGGCGCAAGTTCTTCAGCGATCGGGTCAAAGGCACGATCCCGATCAACTGGAAGGCGCTGGTGCAGGTGGAGCCTAGGGAGGGCAACGAGGATCCGATCATCAAGCGGGCGAGCGCGAATCTCAGGCTGAAGGGCTTGTTCGAGCGTCTCTGGAGCCACATGCGCGCGAGAGCCTCACTCGTGGGGCTGATGACACGGAGTGGCCTTTTTAGCGAATTGCATGTACTGTGGGGTGGCAAGGGCCGTCAGCCTGTTCGCTTTCGAGTAGTGACGTGGAACGCTAGTTCGCTTCAGCACCATAGGGACAGAGTCCGTCTGAGTCGACATCGATACCCCGGCAGGCTTCTGCAAGATGAGGCCATCGGCGCGACTCACGACGCGCGCGGGACGGCTGCTGAGGCGAGCGACATGCTCCACCATCTGAATAAGGATGTTGATTTCCCTTCTGTTTCTCCCCGCTGACTCACACGATAGGCGGCGTGCTGGCCCGTTTTTCCAAAGTTTTCCGGCCCGCAGCATCGCTTCGCTAGCCGCGGCGTTGAGCGCCCTGTCGTCTCCTCTTTCCCTCTTATACCTGGTCGTGTTCTGAGTGCTCGATTCGCCGGCGTCGATAGCATGGTTTGGATTTCGCACTACAGCATTCACAACGAAAGCATTTCGGTCCTGGACAAAAGGATGATAATCGATGCGATTCGTCTCGACCTCGCCCTTGCTGAGGCGGATATTCTGCAGCGTCTCGCGGCGCTCGCGGGTGATGTCAATTTCGGCGCCTTTTCCCGGCATCAGCTGACTCCTGGCTATTCCGCGGAACGCCCCGATCGGCTCGCTCCCCTTCTTGCGCCGGCAGGCTGGCGCGAACTCCTCGGACTGTTCGCGGAATGCCAATTAGAGGACCCCGCGCGCACCTCCACGGGGATGAAACGTTGTTCTACATTGATCGGGTCTTCCTTTCGGCCCCTGGCAGGGTCATGGGCCAGTCCGCGACGGGGGGGGGCCCTGGATCGCCCCGATGCGCTGCGGGCCTGGAAGATTTCGGATCACAGCGCGGCGGCCGTCATTTTCGCGATCCGAGGACCGCCGCCCGGAGGGCAGCGGCCGAACCCCAAGCAGCTGTCTGAGACGGCCGAATTCAAGAGCTCCATGGCGAAGACTGTGGAGGCTGCGCGCATTGATGCATTCGAGAGCTGGCAGAAGCACGCGCGCTGCAAGAGATCGATGATAGCAGGAGCACGCACGCGCGCGACAGTATCAGATTACGGCGCCCATTGTCGTCACTAGCCAAGTACTCGGTCACGCGGGGTGCTGCGCGTGCAGCTTTTCGGCAGGATGTGCGTCTCGCTGAGCGATTTCGCGCCTCCCACTTCCTCGCGCGCGATCATCTGGCCGTTGATTTTCGGGCGACAGCGATATCCCGGGCGCTCCCGGAGATATTCGCGGAGCTTTCGAACCAGTTGCACTTCGAGGTCGCCCAAAAAAACAGCTCGCCCAGGCACTCGGCGCCGCGTGTGCCCGCGCCCCCCCCCCCCCCCCCCCCCCCCCCATGTTCAACGCAAATATTCGTGAGCGGGCTCGTCGCGTGCTGAAGGTCTCGCATGTGTGGCCCCCTTGTTCGACCGAAGAATTTCTCCGGCTGGAGTTCGGATTCCCGGGGTGGCGACTCTTCGGGGCCGCCCCAGATGTTTCGCGCGCTCGGTCGCCGCTGGGAACAGGCGTGCACGAGTAGGGCATTCGACGAGGCATGCGCGCAGCAGTTCCCGCCTCAGCTCCTTGTGCAAAGTGAGGCGATGGACATCCCCATGCCTGCGTTTTTCGACTTTGACGTGGTCGGGCACCTGTGGCGCCTGCAGCACTCGGCGCCTGGCCCTGACCTCCCCCCTGCGCCGCGCGAATCCACGCGCCTCACGGCGCTGGCATCCTGCGTGACATTATGTGTTACATCCTTGGGGGCAAACAAGCGTCTCGGAGATTCAGCGAGACGCTTGGAGCCCGAGGGGGTGGGGGGGGGGCGCGGACGCCCAGTTCATCGCGAGAGAGCCTGGAAACACCAGACCCCTGGGCCACAAAAACATCGACTATAAACTCATCGCGCGCATGCGCTGTCGGGCTGTAAACGTCTTCCTGGATTCCTGGGCCCTCGCCGAAGGGCTTCGCGGCGGGGGGGGGCTTCGGGGCCAACGTCGTCGGGTTAGGCGTGTTCTCGCGTCAGGTGGGCATCGCGGATCCTGGAGGCTCGGCTTCTGGAGTTTTCTTTGACTGTGGGCAGGCGTTCCCGTCGGCGGCGCAGCACGGGGCCCGCTTGGCAATCGTGTATATCCGCGCCCCTCGGCCTCTGAAAGCCCTCTAGATGATCCTGCATGAGAGCGCTGTGTGCCACGGGTGCATTGATGGAGTTCGGGAGCCAATGTTCTGGGCGACGAGAGGAAATGCCCGAGGGCGCCCAGCCTCGGGCCCCAGATTCTCGAGCATCTTCGACCCGTTTCTTCAGAAATGTCGGTCAGCCGTTGACGGGCCAGGCGATGGCAGAGACCGTGCTTGCGCCGG